TCTTGGCTCGGCGTTTCAACTGCTGCTCTGCAATGTTCTGTCAATGATGGGGGTAAGAAACGACCGGTCTACTCACCGACAACCCCGGTACTCGTCAGGACTTCATGTTCTGGGACCTTGAAACTCATCTTGAACGGGGGCAAGGGCCGTGAGGGGAGAGGGCGGGGCGGTCGTCGCCACCTGCGCCTGCCCATGCCATCCGCATGTCTTTCCGGCAGCGAAAGTTCCGAAAACACCCGGTCATTCGTCTGGCCTAAGCCTCCGCCCACGGAGCGCCCAGATTTTTACTGAACGCGGCCGCAACGAGCCCGACACATTGGACACCGCCCGCCGAAGCCCCGCTCCATCGGCCCGATTACCCGGCGACCGTTGCGAAGAATCGGCTGCGTCGGCCCGATTTCACCTGAACGTCGGAGCCTGCAGCGGCTCCCGACCATAAGGAGCATCGGCGACCTCCATCGGCCCGAGGGACCGGCCCCTGCGCCGATCTAGGCATGTCAGCTCGGCGGCCGTTTCTCCCGTCCATTCTCTCGGACGCATTCTCCCTTCCAAACCACGTGAAAGCGACGGGAAGTCGCCGAAGCTCAAGGTGCGGCCGCCGGCTTCGGATAACGTCTATCACGTTGGCGGACGTAATATTTCGCAGCCCGCTGAGGCATTTGGACTGTGGCGCTCTTCTGCTGTCGTTTGAAAGGATCAGGGATGAGGAGCCGTTTCTTGTCCTAAGACGGCCCTGTCGGCCGTCAGAGAAGCACCGCATTTTGCCTGGGCAAAGTGGCAGGGTATGCACCCCTGTAAATGAAAAGCAGATATACCGTGCTTGTCGCTGAAATTGAATATGCTGCTCGATGACGCCCTGGGGCAACCCAATAAAGTTATAAGCACACAATAAAGACCGGCCTCACAAGCTGGGTCGCCGTCGTCGAAGATCCACGAGTCTACAATTAATGCAAGGAAGTATACAATCATGCAATTCTATCGCTCTCCAGGAAGGGACTTCGACCGCCGCTGCAAATCTTGGAACCATCCGGGGACCAACCTTTGCATGAAGCTCCTCTTGCGGCCCCTCACGTCGGCGTGGCTGTCGGCGGCAGGAACAGCTGGGGAAAGGTGATGGGGTCCAGTAGCGGTCCAACCAGCCGCACTAGGTACCGCCAACACTTCGTCTTCAGCGGCCGGTGTTGTCGCGATGGAGGGGATGGGAGACCACTGCTCGTTCGACCCGTCGAGGGGGAAGGGGACGGCGAATGGTGCGGCGCGTGGCTGAAGGGGCTGTTGAAGCGGGCCCCTACCCAGTGTGGGCTCGACGGGGGCGACAACGGAGGGTGCGGGATGAATGACCGTGGTGTTCGACCTGGGGGGAGGGAGCAAACCCTGCCCGCCAGTCGCCTCTTCCAGGCGGACGGTACGATGGCGGACTACATTCTCTGACGCGGCGGCATCCGTCGGTTGCGGGAGAACGGAGGGTCCGCCGCCGAATCCATCGGCGTGCGTCTCGTCGGTGAGGCCGACGCTCGGGGTCGAAGTCATCGGGTCGTCCAAAATGGCAGAACTGGACGCAAGTCATGGGCCGGCTTCCTCGGGAACTGAGAACAGGATAAACTCACGGGGGAGAGCCAAAGGTCCCATAAGACTCCTCGGTGTTGGAGTGGGCCTCCGTGGAAGGTGGCGAGGGGCCGTTGCGGCGCAGCGAAGGGCGGTCGCTGAGCAAAAGGCGCACCTGCTCCGTCAGAGTGCGGTAGTTGCGTTGTAGCTCGTCGTGGGAGTTGCGTAGCTCGTCGTAGGAGTCGCGTAGCTCATCGTAGGAGTCGCGTAGCTCGTCGTAGGAGTCGCGTAGCTCGTTGTAGCTCTCCTGCAGCGCGTCCTGATTGCGCAACTGGGCGCGCAATGCTTCCTGTTCGCGCCTCAATTCATCTATCTGATCTTCCCGGGTCGGTGTGCCGGTCACTTGCTCCGCGATGACACGCTCTTCAACAACCAAACCGCTGGCGGCGGCGGCGGCGGCGGCGGCGGCTGGGAACATGGGCAGATTTAAAGGGGCGCTTTGTGAAGCAGTGGGGTATACACACTCGACATTTTTCTTGGCGGGGAGGTGACCTGAAGGTCTGGCGAGTCGCGGCGGATAAGGATGGATATTGCCAAAGCCGCAGCAATGGTGAGAGCGATGGCGAATTTGAAGACCAGGCGGAATATATAGTCCTCGGACATAGAGTTCTTCAACGATTCTTTCATGACGTGAGCGAAGAGGGCTTCTCTGGACAGTCGTGAGAGGCGTCGTGCGACGTCGAAGATGAGGGTTTTGCAAACGGCGCAGCTCGTATGAGCCCCGGTGAGGTGCTTCGCTGGCAGCCGGCCATTCCGTGATTAAAGCGCTCGCGAGGCTTGGCGCTCATCGCCCAAGGTGAGTCGACATTCCGGGCCGGGCATCTTAGCAGCTTATTCGATTACCCGGTGTAGGCCATCCCCTCCCATACAATTCCGTTGGAATAGCTACATCAAAGGCGTCCAAAGACGGCCAACAGGCGGCTTTACACGCGCGGTGTGACGTCGACAGAGCTCAGCAGCGGCAGCGGCCACCGGATCGTGAGGCCGGGCTCCTTTCAGTCCCTCTCGCGAGCCGCAGCCATTGACATCGAAGGGTCGCCTCAGGTGAGGCCGCAGTCGCAATGACGGGGCTATCGAGGCTCATGCCTTCATCGGCATACTCCCCGCTTCTTTTCTGGGTTCGGTTAGTCGGTCCGTCCAACTTGAGGCTCTGAATGATTGCTAAATAAAGTTCCGCACAAGCTTCGGCTTCTCGTTGACGGCAGAGAGGGATGAGGGAGGTGTCCGCATGTCGTGCAGGGGCGGTTTTGGGACTGTCCAGGCGCTCCTTGGACGGGCAGGACCATGCAGACCGCGAGGGAGGGCGAAGATGGTGGTGCATGATAATGGGGGTGGGTAATGCATTGTCCTTGCGTGCTCGCTTCTTTGCTCGTCGCGAAACCGCACCAGCGGCCGGTTTTCAGCTGCTTCGGGGCAATTGAAGCCCGGAAATGCAAGAAGGGCAGCGAGGGGTTTAACGCCGCATGAAAGGAGCTGAAGTGGGATCCACTTTTGCAACCTTCCAGTCAACTCCACAATACGGTGTGTTCATCCTGCGATCATGTTTTTATTGCCACGGCTCGCACGCGGGGAGTCTACAATGCACGCAGAGATTTTGTCGAGTGCCTGCGGTACTCGTTGCGGTGCGCTCGGGCGCTACGCGCCGATCAAGCCCGTTCTAAAGCTACACACATACACCTCACTCAGCCTCACTCGTGCTCTTACGCGAAAATGGCCTATCGATATTGGGACGGCTGTAACGCAGGCCTCCGACAAGCACGGGCTCCGGGATCCTGGAAGGGTGTCGTCCACTATATGCGACCCGAGTTGTCCGGCGTGGGCCGTGGCGGCTGAATTGTCGTTGTTGCAGAGCGAGACGTACCACAAATAAATGACGGACGCGTGCCATGTCGAACGCGAGGCCGATGTGTAAGATGCTCATCGCGACGTGGAATGGTTCACGCTCGGCCGGACGAAGCCGGCTCACCTCGACGTCTGTGTGAGCGATGTCATCTGATGTATGTATGATAGACGCCGCCACGTCACCGTTTGAGGCCAGCCCCGCTGCACGTCCGCCGCCGCCGCCGCCCCACAGTGGTCATTCCGACACCCTACATATCCCCAGCTCATCGCCCCCTCGCCCCTCGGGGAGAAGTCCCAGTCACCGCTCAAGCGATGGAAGACGTTAGAAAGCAGCTGCAAATGCTCCAGATCGCCTATCAGCAAAAGGAGCAAGAGCTTGCTGCCTCGCAAATGCAGCTGCGGGTCCACGAGCGTGCTCTAGTTCACGGGGCACGCCAGTTCAAAGAAGCTGCCGAAGCTGCAGTAAACCACGAAAATCGCGCTGCTGCGTTGGAAGCACAGCTGCGCCGTTGTGAGTCCGACAGGGACTTCAATGAAGACGCGCATGTCCACTTGCTACAGTCTCGTATCACGGAGCTCGAGCGGGATCTCGCTGCCGCCCGACGCCAAGCCGACAACAACGCCAAACTCCTCGACGTACGCACGAGCGAGCTTCGCAGCGCCAAGTTCTTCTTCCCCTCCGCCGACGATCTCTCTGAGACGGAAGTCCTCGACCTCGTCAATACCCTCAATGAACAAATCTTCCAGATATCCGCCACTATCGAAGACACATACCATGACCGCTATGTTGCCGACTGCCACGACATAGAGTGTGCAACCGTCTGGCTGAAGAAATTCTTCAACTCCATCGACGTCATCGGTGCGCTGAAAGATGCGGCGTCTAGCCCGGACGACGCCAGCAACCTCGTGCAAGTAGCCCTTCAAGGCTTTATGGTCTCATTCATACATTACCTCTGCGGCACCTGGGACTTCACCGCGGACAGCCGGCTTCAGCACCGCTTGACGCAGCTGAGGAAGAGCATCACCGCCCGCGGTACGACACCTCTCTTGCCCCCACACTTCCGCTGACACATTGACACAGAGCCGCAGTTCGTCTCCGGGCGGTGGCGTTCCCTGTGTCTGTCGCACATCCGCACGCTCCTCAACACGGAGGTGGCCATGCTCCCACCAGCAGAGCAGGAGATGGTCCAGGGTGTGGCGGCCGTCCTGCGGGTGTTCGGCGTTGACAGCACGCTCAACGAGCTCTGCGAACAGGTGCACGCCGCGTACGTCCCGAGATTTCGGGAGATCGTGCGCCGTGCGCTCGACCTCCGCCGCGCCGCGGGGGAGATGATCGTGTCATGCGACTTGGAGGTCGACCTCGTTCACTGCGGGCAGCAGTTCGACGACACTCTAATGGAGGACGAGTGGGCGGGCCCCAGAGCATCACAGAGACAGATGTCAGAGGGGCGGCAAGTTCTTTTCACGACGGCGCTGGGCCTTGTCCGAGAGAACGAGGTGAGGACGCCTGAGGACGGGGAGGAGGAGGGAAGCAACGAAGGCTTCAGGAGAAAGCGAACAATTTTGTTGAAGCCCAAGGTTATGTTGTCGGCGAAACGGGCGTAGCTAATAGTCGAGGAATCCAATATCCGAGACTGCGTCCGTCTGCTGCTTCCTGCGCGACACTGTCCCTTCGCAATCACTCGCTTTTCGCTATGTATTGACATTTGTTTCTCTCCATTCCCGCCCCCATATCTTCATGCCCATCGCACAGCTCGACAAGTTTGAGCCGAGGCGGCTCGGAAATTTGAGAGGAGCGATGACGGGAAGAAAAGGCACAACAAGACGAGCGGTGCAAGCAAATACATACGTCGACGGGCTGCTGCGTGTGCGGTCGATGTCGGGCCGGCTTATGCCGCGTTGGCAATGCACAGCGCGCGTCGTCGTTGTAGGAAGGGCTTGGTCAGCCCTACCGCCGATGGGCCGCGCAGGGGAAGACCATCTCGAGGTAAAGACGTCCTGGTTCATCGAAGCGAGCTACCGGCCAGAGACGGGTCCAGGCACGTCGACTCCGTGTGGGCCAAACGGATTATGAGTAGATACACCCCACTACAAGTGGCATTATTAACATTGTAGTATATATATGTCCGCGAAGTCGAAATAAATTGCTTTCACATCGGCCCCATCTCATATTGATCGTCTCGGACGGAAAAGGGCGGTCTACACTGCGTCTCGGAGCAAGTCCATACCGGGATTTGAGAACCACGGGCGCGTGGGGGGTGCAGTGCCGGAGTGGGATTGCTCTGTAAATGTGGCCTGAGCGGTTGCTCGAACGGCGGCGGGAGGGGCGGACACAGAGCTAGAGGGCGCCGCTCCGAGGAAGCCGCCGAGATGAGGAGGCTGACGGCCGGCATGAGGAGGAGGATTGGCGCGGATAGTCGACGGGGGGCCCGCGCCGGCGGATGGTGATGCGGATGCATCTGGGCCGAGGATCGACTCGCGCAGAGCCGCTTGCTCATTGCGGTCCGCACCGTGATAAACGCCCGACCGAGCTACACCCAATCCGTCTTGTTGTAGCCGTTGTACAACCATGCTGATGAGTTCCCGACTACCAGGAAAGGCCGCTTCTATAAAACATGATAAGCGAACGTTTACTTGGACGTATATGCATACGCACGTGCTCGGCGCAGCTCGGCATTCTCCTCCTTCAATTCGCGAACTTGCTGCTCCAGGGCAAAGACACGACGGCTGATTGCGCTCGTCTCTGAGGATAGGGGACGTGGCTCGCTCACGTCAGTGCCAACATCAAGGTTACCAAGTGCTTCCATGAGAAGGTCATCGCCATCTGGAACAAAATGAGATCTAATCATAACATTTGAGACAGACGTACCGGGAGGAATGGGGGAGGCGTGGCTCGGCCTCGTCATAGCGAAGGCAGGGGGGCGTTCCTTTGTCTTCCCCTTCACATCGATGGATGGGCCGGCGCTGTTGCTGGGGGAAACGGCGGCGATGTTGAATCGTGTTTTCCTTCCCACGTCATCGGCCTCATCACCGGAGGGAACTGCCGACAGATCATCTACCGAAAGATTCAGCGAGATACAGAAGTAGCAGCCAAATGCCAATATTCAGCATCGGGCTATCATTTACAGACGGCGTTGCACCGATGGAAATGAACACACGACCGGCGGTAATGGTACATTCTTCATCGCAGCATGGATAATCCTGCCGCTCGTAGATGCCCATTACCGCCGGTCATGGACACGACGGCGATGGACATCACAGAGACCTGAATCGACTGAGGTGACTTACCGTCGGACGTTAGGGTTGTTATGTCAACCTTCGCTACACACGGATAAGCGTTGGTTATAATTGATGTAACAAATACATACGAAGCGTCGTCGGCCCTTTCTTTGCATTGCGGGAGGTTCTTGGACGTTGCGGCGCAGTTGGGTAATCCCAATGTTCCTGACCCTCGATGAGCATCCACACCGAGGACAGACTGGAGACAAATCACCTTGGAAATTTCGACGTCTTGCAAATCAATAAAAACGAGACGGTCTTTGCCAGGCTCCGGGTCTGGCCATCGAAGAGACATGTACCGTTCGTTGTCGATGATTTCTCGGATGACTTTTGCCGGTTGCCTGTGCCAGTAGAAATACCAAAAGTAAAACCAGTCGGGGACATCCTTGCTCGCCCGGTCCAGCCATGCTTTGGACAGGAAAATGGGATTTGGGTACATGTCAGGGTTCGCCAGTTGGACGCCGACTCGATAAAGGAGGTAGGCGCCAAGCGCCAGTCTTCCGTGTGCGAGCTTCGTGATGCTACAAGAGCCCTTAAGCGTGATGCAGGCTAGGCAACATTTAGATGTGAACGGCGATATTATGCAATCTTGGCCGTGATCTACGCAGACGGCGCAGCGGAGTTTCTTGTAGGGCTGTGCTGAAATTTAGCGTCTGGTGTAACAGCAGAGATCAGCGGACCAAGGCTCACCCCGTTCATCGAGATAATGCCAACTGGAAGGCTATGCTGAGAATTTGGGAATTCCGGGAAGTACCGTTCCGGCTCGACGGCTTTGCGACTCTCGTTGGGGCGCATTTTCTTTGTTTCAGCCCCTTCTGCGTTGACGTCGCGGTCGGCCTCGTGGCCACCATCCGCAGTCCCATTTTTGGGTCGCTGTGAGCGCGACTGGGAACGAGTCACGATGGAACGCTGCGAACTTGCATTCGATGTGGAGCGTGGTTTGGACGCGCCGCGTTGGTTGCGCCGCCCGGCTTTACGACGCGGTGTTGTGCTTCGCCCTGTATCGACGCAAGTCAGTTTTGTTCGATAGTCTGGTTTCCGGGCACTGACCGCGCGTTAGCTCTTCCTCAGACTCGGAGCTAGACGACGGCACCTCAATGCGCGGCAGGCGTGGTGTTCTGCTCATCCTCGCCGTCACCCTCCGCCGTTTGAGAGGTGCTGGGGGAAAGAGGGAAGTGTTGAAAATACAGAAAGTATATTTATAACGTCGACGTACGGGCATCCAGGGGCGCGTCGCTGCGGCCCCGCTTCATGTCACCGGCAGGTATACCGGGCGGATTACCGCGCTTCTTTGAGGGGAGGGGAACTGGGGTAGCCGGCGTGACTGCAGAGCGATGAAATTCTGCGGAAATAACAAGGGTGGAATGGTTACTCACCGCTATCAATCCATTCGTGGTCGATCTCCTCCCACTTCAACAGCGGGACCGCCCCATCATCGTCGCCCTCAATTGGCAAGGCAAAATCGTACCATTGGGCTGCCGTTGTCTTGTCGCCGATTGCTTTGACAGCAAGTCCGGAGAATTCGTATCCTGGAACGCGGGCGGATTTCTGATATTCGTACGCAGCGCCGACCACGTAGCGTGGAAATCTCATAATACCGTGCTGAACTTGCAAGAATAGGACTTCCGACACGGTGTATTTGAGCCACATGGTCCAGTACGCAAGGTCCTCGGTAGGGGTGGCAGCAGGGTCGGGCTTTCGGAGGATGGCGTGGTGTATTTGAGAAGAAAGCTTCTGCACCTGTTCCATTGAGCCGGGTTGCATGACAAGATGTTGTCGGGGAAGACTGGATGGCGTGAGAGTTGGGAAAAAGCGGGATTGGGGGGGCGGCCGCGCGCTATGGGAATCAACGAGTTGCCGCGTCGAAACTGAACTTTATGTCAGCCCCTCCCACGCCACCCGGCGCAGCGCTCTAGTTGCTGTGCCGCTCCCCACCTCACGCCCTTCTTGTATGTTCTCAAGATCACAATGTCGCACACCCTGACATTTGGAGGTGCGTAATGCCGCACTGACGGCCGATGGGTGTCGCACCTGACGTTAAAACCTTAGCTCCATACGTGGTTGACCGTACGTCGGCCATGTGGCCAGGATGCAGGACCGGCTGACATGAGACCAGGCCCCGACATCAAAGATTACGAAATGACGATCCCAGGGCTTAGTCTTGACCAGTGGAACAACAAGAACATTCCGCCTGTGCTTGCGAATCTTTTCCTTCCATCGCCGGCCTGCACCGTCGATCAGCTCGTGAAGCGCACGTGGTGCACCCAAAAACCGCTGCGCTGCTGGGAAGACGGAACCAGTCTTATGTTTTCTAACGATGCACCTATAGGCCCGCGCGAGGTCCCCCCATGGGTTCCTCTCGTAGATCATTACAGTGAAGGCTCACGCATCAACATTCCCTCTATAAGATTTATGGACAATCTCCCCTTGGGGCGCCGGTCAGTGATCCATCCGGGAGACCCAACAATACCGCTTCCTTTGTGGGTCGTCGCCCTGTGGCGACAGCTGCAAAACATTCACAGGATCCGCAATATATATCTCAACTCGCTGAACATGCAGCAGCCGAATCAGAGCGCGGACGCCCTCTTGCTGGGCATCCGCCACCTACCGGCCATCCGGTTTGGCTGGCCGGAAGTTATCCGCAGGCTACTCGAACGAGATTGTTGGATTAGCGATGAAGTCCTCGATCGTGTTTCCGCTATGATCAACACCCTTGTGCGGGGGACGCCGTGAGAACACGACACAATGACATATTCCATTCATGTCAGCAAGTTTCCCGAAGGGGCGATCACGCAGAAGTTTAGGTCGTGGGGGCGGAAGAAACGTTTCCACAGGAACGCGAACATCCTCGTACCATGGCATCTCCCAGATCACTGGATCCCTGTTGTGTTCAAGATCAGCGAGAGCAAGGTTCTTTACGCCGACTCCAAGCCCCAGTATACGAAGTCCCACAATCTCTGGCCGGCGGCGGAGCGTACCATACTGGCAGCGGCTCGAGGAATAGACGCAGGGTTAAATATTCCCGAACGGCACTGGGTCATAGATTCGGAAACGTTGATATGCGGCGTGCAGGATGACAGTTCTTCTTGCGGCATCGCAACCGCAATGACACTGTTGCGGTATGCCTTCCCCGATCGTCCCTCCTTCGTTTCAGGATGCGCTGCGGAACAGCGCTGGGAGTTGCTCTTGGAATTGGTATCGAACGCCGAGGCGGTATGTGTGGCTCTTATCTTAAGATGTTCCGTGTGACTGACAATGACATCATGCAGACCCCCCTCGGTCGTTCCGAACACGCTAGTGTTTGGGAGGATGAATCCCATCCGCCTCCCCTGGTCCTTTTCAATCCATCGCCGCCGGAGCCCCAGGGCGCCATGTTGGAGCAGAAGGCCACGCCGTCCCGGTTCCAACCGCCGCCATCACATTTCCAGAGCGACCCAGCGGATCGAACGGTTGGTCTACTTTCACCCCGTGCGGTCATCCGGTTCGGCCGACAGACGGTAGAATCTGGACTGATTCGTTCGCTTCCATCACCGGCAACATCGGGAGGCATGTCAGCCGCGGGCCCATCCGAGCTCGCATGCGTTCCCCCATCTACGTCGTCTTTCAATGGTGACATCGCAGCGGTCAAACAAGAGCCCAAGCGCGCCGTACCACCGCTTTCGTTGTTCCGGGGCGATTTGGTGGAGCCAACGGAAATACGAGCCGCCGGTGTTTCACTTCCGACGGCGTTGGGTAGCACGCCAGCCAGGGGCGCGTCCAAGTCCGCACGTGTTCCTCCGCTACCCCGTTCTTCTGTGGTGACCTCGCAGCGGTCAAACAAGAGCCCAAGCGCGCCGTACCGCCGCCTTCATTATTTCAGGGCGATTTGGTGGGGCCTCCGGCAATACGCGGCACCGGTGTTTCACTTCCGACGGCGTTGGGTAGCACGCCAGCCAGGGGCGCGTCCAAGTCCGCACGTGTTCCTCCGTCTACCCCGTTCTTCTGTGGTGACCTCGCAGCGGTCAAACAAGAGCCCAAGCGCGCCGTACCGCCGCCTTCATTATTTCAGGGCGATTTGGTGGGGCCAATGGCAATACGCGCCGCAAGTCTTTCACTTCCGACGGCGTTTGAAGGTGCGCCGACTGTGAACCAATCAAACCCAGCCCCCTCCCCGCCGCTGATCTCGACTTTCAAAGGAATGATTATTGATATCGAAGGGGAAGACACCAAGATGAACAAGCATTATGGCCTGTGAGAGAAGAGATATGATGTATATGCTTTCTTAGCGCGGATTGAATGCTATTGGAGATGTACCAATTGGACGAAATTGCCTTGCTAATTCCTACCGGCTATACAAACACCGTTATTGGATCCGCTGGTAAATACGGATTCTTCTATTCACTTCGGCCACATTGTATATCACACATTTGGTGGCGGCCCATCGCTGGTTGACAAGCCGCGCCGTGCGCTCCGCCAGCACCACATGCTCAAGCTCTGGTCTACGCCCTCAGGTGTGCGCGCAATTAAGTATCATTTATTTGACGCCGACGCCGAAAGCAGCAGGCACACAAACGAACTTACAATGCCTTGTACTCAGCCACCCGATATCCTCAGGGGAATCACAAGCCGGTAAGTAGAGGGCTGGGGTCGCACCGCGCACCTTCACCGCCGCCGGCAGATTCAATCACGTCGTCAGCCCTAGTTCGAAGTTGTGGAATATCCAAAGCGCCCCATACACGCACATCTAGCTTCAGCATGGTCAAGGTTTGCATTCATATTAAATACGCCGCATCTGCGCAAGGATCCATTGTTACTTCGTAATTACACGTGCACGCAATCGTTTTTACTCCGGCAAGCTTCCAAAACGTCATTTACGGTCGGGGGAGCCCAGGCTAGATCGTGGTTCGACAAACCCCATGACTTCATTACTCCCTGCTGGTTGAACAACGCCAGGCATTGACGATCACCGGATACCGCCGGAACACCATGTACGAGGTGCTTTGCGAGAAAGCATTGAACGTTGCCTGAGTCGTAGGGGACCGAGCACCCCAAGGAGTGGTACCCCATGTATGCTTCTTCGCCGTATGTTCCGACACTGGTGACCAAGTCGTAGAAAAGGCTGGCATCGCCGGAATCTCGATGGAAGATGGTTTCCCGGTTCCCGATAATTTGGCAGGCTTGAGTGGGGAAACACCAGGTAGACATGAGGCCCCTTCTAAGCTTGTAGTCGCACAGGTTTTCTCGAACGAAGCGTCTTTGGGAAGGGTGTGTGATTTGTAATATTCCGTCCAGAATGGCACCCGCCCGGCTCATTCCTCGAAGCCAGTCGATGGTTTTTTCTGAGCCGTACCCAGATGTCGCGGCGAGGTTCTCTTTCTGATTCTTTGAGAGCCGTTAGACCGATGGCTATACATAAATGCAGTACCGCGGCGCACCTCTTTGGCATAGGGGATTGCAGCTGGGGAAATTAGGTTTTCACCGATCGGCTTCCGTTTCGAAGCTGGGATTCGCCTGTCCACGGGTGCGAACAGCACCCGGGCCTGTCGCCACCGTCCCTTTTTGTTATTGATGGTCAGCCAACGGCCTTTCCGGCTCGCCTGTTGCGTAGCGTTGATCATTTCAGACTTCATCCTGGTCAGCTTCCAGACACTGATAAGTACGGAAAAGGACTGACTTGAACGTCAGGCGACAGCGCCCCAGGGAGCGACCACAGCATGACGAAGTTATCGGCGTCCGTTACTATACAAGGGTTCTCGTCGAGTAGCGGAAGCTCTCCGTTAGGCTCCGGCGGGACGAGAGGGGCAAATTGCGCAGCCAGTTTGGCTTCGTTGGCCTCGGATGTCAAGGCGATGTTTTTCCCCTTGGCTTCGGCGTACTCCGACAGCGACCAAGCCGTCTTATCTGTTTGTAGCGTTGAGGGCCCGGATATTTGCCTACCCAAGTAAACGCGTACTTACATTGACGCCGCATAGACTTTGCGACCACAGACCCAGACCACCAAGCCGACAGAAAGTCTTTGTCTTCCAGCCCCAACTGCGCTGAGTCAGGGTAATCAGGAGTCGACTGATCCAGAGCCCAAGCAGCGGCATGCGCTTTGAAAGACTCAACAACTACCGAAGAGAGGGTCGATCTGATATCAGGATCCATTCGAGAACGTAGATGGTTGGGGTCTTTGAAGGGAGAGGACGGGGATCTTTTTGGGATCCTTGCATTAGGATCAGATAGAATCGGCGATGCTCACAAATAGTTCCCTGAAAGGGATCAACCCGGCGGCCGCCAGAATCACCGGCGTCTGAGTCGGTATTCAATGGGCGATTTGTCGGGCCGGCATACACGGCGGCCCGCCCGGGGAGCCCAAATCTTCGCAGGCGCCGGCTCCCCGGACGACCCGACCGCCGACGAGCTCCCGACACTGCGGGCACGGGCCCCATATCCCACATGATGATAGACTTGTCGCAGCCATGCGGAAGGTTTCCTTTGTCCTGAGCAACACCTGTCCATTGCAAAATGTGACAGTTAGCATTTTGTTTGCCTTTCACATCGCTGTCGCACCCAGGGATAGGTTACCTTGCACATGACTATCCCTTGACTGTCTCTCCACTCTCGCCTCATGTGACAGTTGTGTGACAGGTAGAATATTGCATCAATATTTCCTAGCGTTACAAGCAGACCGCCTCTGCACTGACAAGTCTATCGTCACGTGGGAAATAGGGCCCGCGCCCGCAGTGCGAGGAATCCGAGAGCCGGTTGCCTGCGACCCGGCCGCTGCCGGTCTTGAGATCTTGAGAGCTTGAGCCTTGAGGCAAGACGCCGGTGCTTCAGATACGGCGCTCTGACGGCCACGGAATGGGTCTCAGGGGCCGGTCGGATGTCCGTCGGTCCGGCGGGGACGCAAGACGCGTCGGACGGCCCGGTTCTGCGCGCCGAAGACAGCCGAGGAATACCGGCCGGTTCTATTTTTTTACTCTCATGTATCGCTCTTCAATAGGGCGCCCAGCGATAGGCATCGGGTACGTTCTCCGCCGCGTCGTGCCAGAACCTCGGACGTTTGAAAATATGAGCTCTTTCTGAAGCGGCGTCCTTCCTGCCGCTTCAGAATTTCGGACCGGCGACCATGAAGAACCGGAGGTTCGGCGTGAGACCGAACCTTGCGGCGTTTGCACCCGCACGACCGAAAGATCACACCATCTCCGTCGATATTCAGGGACCGCCTCGCTTGCCTCCCACCATCTGCCGTCGCTTTTTCGGTCATGTCTCTTGAAGTCAGCTCTACGAACGTTAACCAAGCAACCATAAAATATCAGATGCGGAAGCCCAGCATCACATTTCTTGTCGAAGTACGCCTCGCCGACCTAATAGAAATTTTCACCTTGCTGACGTGACCCGGCGGCCTGTACCGTCTAGTGCGACCGATGCTTTGAATCTGCCGAGCCCGTGGGTTGCACGGGATCCGGAACGCCTTGCGTCGCCTGCGACGCCCGCGCCGCTGTCTGCACGTTGTATGGGGTGGGTGTAGATGGCATTATACGAGGTGAGCATTTGAACGACATCCGTGCAAAGGGGCGGAGCACTGAGGACTCGGCTTGACCAGTGAACGGCGTGGGCCCGGTCGCGTTCTTCGACGGCCGCTCTTTCTGGCTGGTCAAAGACATGAAGGACTCCGGTCGGGCGGTCGCGGAGGGTGTCGTCGACTTTACCATCACGCACCTGCGAAAAGGCGACTGGAAGCGCTGCCAGGGCCCTTCGGTCGAATGCCCCTTCGATGTCATCCCGCTGCAGTTCAAGTTCAGCCGCGAGCACGCGCGGAAGGTGGCGGCCCGAGCACTTTTTATACAGGGTCATTCGAAGACATACGGCGGGTGCAGGGAACAGGAGTTTTTGAAGCTTGGCGACGGCTTGCCCAGATACGGAATCAATTACAGCGACACTCCGTCCCGCCGCATACGCCCGTGCTTCAGGCCTAGATCGTCGAGCAAGCGGGATAGGAGTCCATCCCCGGAGCCAACTGCACTGAAGACGCAAAAGCTCGAGTTGGAGGAGACCAGCGTCGCGTCCACCAGCAGTGATTCTTCTATTCCCATTCCCTCCTCGCCGTCGGCGGGCGCGACCCCGGGGCCCGTCGTCCCTGATACGCGAACTTTGCGGAGCCTCCGCCTTGCGCTTGATCAGTGGAACGTCGTCTGTGAGCTGCTGATCGCGTCGGCGTTTGCGGTAGACAACGTCCTCTCTGGATTGCACTGGGACGACGCGGTGTACGCGGAGTTGGATCGGCTGCAAGGATTCAACGGGTACGACGCAATTCGTCGGTTCTTCCGCGACCGGAGGCGGCTCGCTCGGGCGCTGAGACACCCGCTGCCGGATGGGTTGCAGGTGTATGAAAACAACGAGGACGATGATAGAGAGCTGTATGAGACGGTGGGGGATCAAGACGATGAGCTCCTCTAGAGGGCGGAAGATGAGGACGGTGACGAAATTTAACGCGTTAGATTGGACGCCTTCTTGTGTATCACACTCGTTCACCGCGCCGCCGTCATGTATATATGTGTTGCTCTGCTTGCCGTTATGACACGGTGGTTTCTCTATCCTTTGCTCAGGAATTCCGGACGGAGACCGATGCATCGGCTCTTCGGCCCCCGCAGGCGCCGGGAGTCGGACCGGGGGCGGCCCGAAATCCGCCGAAAACCCGCCGTATTCGTCAGGAACATCGGATCGGAGCTGTGCCATATACGCTGCTCGGACGGCCGGACCGAATCTTGGCACGCCCGGCCCCGCGGCGGTGGCGGCGGGCATTCCATCGCTCTTACATAATCCGAACTGCGTATAAATAGGAGGCCGGCGCCGCCGCAGAACGGGCCATCGGCAGCGCGGCCCGCACCCGTCCTCCTGGCAAAGTAACCCGCCCTCCATGCCTAGAATCCTGCTCGGTCTCCTGGACGGCAATTTTGCATTGCAACCTCGCTTCAAAATCGATCGCAGAGAAGACGTTCTTCAGCCTGCAAGTTGCTTCAATTCTGAGGGCGTTGATGAATCGGAGGCGCCCGCATCGGATAGGCGCCCGAAAACGGTGAGCCCCGCGCAATTTTGGCGCTGCCGAAAAAGCCTGACGCACGCCCAGGTAAGGCTGTTCGCGGGTCCGGCTCACTTCGCGGATCGTGAGCCGATTATCCGGAGCCGTGAGCCGGGGATCATGAGCCGGGCGGCTCCGGCTCTTTCCGGCTCCGGCTCCTAGCGGCTCCGGATCAAGGGGGCTGGAAATTGGCGGATCTGCGGCTCGATCCACGGGTTATCCGCAGACTATGTGTATGGATACTACGAAAGATATGTCATTCAAAAGAAAATTAAATCAGTGTTCCAACGATATATTTTCTGTGTGATTTGGTGCAAAACTGACTGAGATATTGATACACTACTGTTTTCTTTCATTTCGAGAGCTTTTGGCGCCTGCATCTGGCGTCTGCACGCGGGAACCCGTCCCGATTGGGCAATGTTGGCATTTGAACGCGGCGTCTCGCGCGTCCTCATCCCTCCTCTTCTCCAGTCTATCCTCGCCTGTCCTCTGCTTGCCCTTCACCCTCCGTCCATGTGGCGTCATCTCGCGCGCGCGCGGCCGTTCTCAAGCCCCGGAGTTGTGTCATGGGGTCGCGGTGACCTTCCGCGCCCCCGATATCCTCTGGTGAGTTCTCCCTATCCCAGTCCTTGCCCGTCTCGCGCTTGCGCTCATGCTTGTTCACGTTGCCCTTGTCCACGTCGAGGTTGTCCACCTCACCCCCCCCCCGGCTCGCCACCTCGCCATCCCCCGGCTTGCCCCGGCTTGCCCCCGCCTCGCCTCGCCCTCCGCCCACGCTGCCCTCCACCTGCTATACCGCGTCCCTGCCCCTCAGCCTCATCTCCCGGATCTGCCTCGCCTCGCCCACCACCACCCCCGCATCTCCCGTCTCGCCCGCATCAAGCGTCACGCCCGCGTCGCCCTCGCCCTAGCCCTCAGCCCGCATCACCCATGTCCCCCGCCTGTCCCACCGTCACCCGATCCCCCGTCCACGCGGCGTCATCGCGCTCGTGCGCGCGGCTGTTCTGTGGGGTCGCGGTGAGTTCCCGCGGCCTCGATGTCTTGTGGTGAGTCCTTTTCGCCCCTCTGCTCCCTGCATCGTCCCCCCTCCCCCGCGCTGGAAATCCCCCCAACCCGCTTCCTGGACGATCCGAGCACGCGCCCTCCACCTTGCCCGTGTTGCGCCACGTCCACGCTGCCCTTGTCCTCGTCCTCCGCATCCTCGCGCCCTCACACCCTCGCCCTCACATTGCCCACCTCACCCTCATCCGTCTTGGCCGTCTCTCACCCTCGCCCTCGCCCTCGCCCTCGCCCTCGCCCTCACTGCCCATCACCTCACCGCCCATCACCTCACCACCTCGCTCTCGCTCGCGTTCCTCACCTACGCCTGCGTTGTCCACGTCCCCCGCGTTCGCGTCGGCGTTCGCGCCACCTGCGCAACACCCGCCTCGCCCGCGTCCCCGTCTCTATGCCTCCACCCTCTCCGCATCTCCCGCATCCGCCTCTCCACGTCGCCACCTCATCCTCGCCCGTTCAACCCCCGCCTCGTCCGCGTCGCCCCCGTGTCGCCCACGTCGTCCGCCCGCGTCGCCCATGTTGCCCGCGTCACCACCTCGTATAGGTCGGTCCCGTCTCGCCCGTCTCGCCCGTCTCGCCCACGTGCCCACAATGCTCTCGCCCGCGTCGCCCTCGTTCACCTCTCCACGTCGCCACCCCGCGCCCGCCGCTGCCTTGCCCGCATCCCGCATCACCCACGTCGCCCATCATCCCCCGCGTCGTTCGCCTCACCCCCGCGTCGCCCACTTGCACCCGTGTCGCCCTCGTCCTCGCCCACGCGCCTGCGGCCCCCACCTTGCCCACATCCTCCGCGTCGCCGCATCTCCCGCATTGTCCGCCACACCCTCCTTCACCTTGCCCGCACCCGTGTCAGGTGCCATGCCCTCGCCTTGCTCCCGCGTCGTCGCGTCTGCGTCGCCATGTTCCCCGCGTCCCCACGTCCCCGCGTCCCCCGTATACGCATCGACGTCGCCCAGGTTGCCCGTCTGCATCACCCCGCCTTGCCGCCTTGCCGCGTGGCCCGCATCCCCCACCTCGCCCGTCTAGCCCCCGCGTCTCCCTGGTCCGCGTCGCCACGTCCGTGTCGCCCTCTCACACAGTTCTCCTAGTATACACCATCTATATCCACATGTAGTAGTTAGCTGTTAATGAAATACCTTGTAATGATCATTAATGTGTTGCTACAGGCTGTAATAACACAACAGAGTGAGAAACATCAACACAATTGAGGAAGGAAGATCCGCAGAAGCGGGTGATCCACACTGAGCCACACATTGCGGCTCAGTTGGCGGCTCGACCCGCGGATTGCGGATCCGGCTCGCGCGGGTCCGGCTCTTCCAGCGGCTCTTACCCGTGCGGATCTGGATCAAGCCCCCGGAAGTCACCTGATCCGTGGGTTCGGATCCGGATCATCCGTGGGTAGATCCGCAAACAGCCTTACGCCCAGGCCGATGAATCCCATGAGGTCGTAAAACGAGCCGACCGCCCTCAGACGGCGGAATAGCTGCACGGGCCACGGAGGGGGCTTCTTTAGCGCTGTTAATTCATATCAGAGTGCGCGGCGAGGATGCCGGGGCGTACAAATCCGCTTGGGTGGGGTTTCTGCTGCGTCCGTCGGCCCCGAAACGCAATGCGCGAGGATCGCGACGGATGGTTCGGGCGCCGCGTGAGCGCGATCCCTTTCCAATCACCGTCGGTGCGGGGCAGAGAGCTTCGGGCCGTTGTTCAACGGCCGTGCGCGCTGCGGCTGCGGTCGGGTTGTTGACCGAGGTCTAAATATGGCGGCGCGCGAGTTGCTTGGCCTCAGCCTGCGCGCGTCTCTCAAGCTTCGGCCGCTCCTCCCACTAACTTGGTCGACCACGGTTTGTTTGCCACAAGCTCCCTTCTACAACTCGTCTCTCTTCTGCGTATATACGACCTCAGTTCTCGTGTCTTAGTTCCTCACCCTGTCTCTCTACCACGCGCTCGTTTGCCGCTCGACAGGTCGACTACTTCCTCATTCCCGCCTCACCCTTCCGCCACCCCTTCTTCTGTACTACGTCTTACAACTGCTCCGTCTTCTGTATTAATTAGATTCGCCTCCGCTGGATTGAGCTCGGTCTCGGGCCGGGAGCGCCGCGTCGCGTTCCCTGTCTTCGAGAGCTGTCGTGGGACGGGCCGGCGCTCCGTCCCAGCGCTACGCAACACCGACCTCGCGATTTCTTCAAGGCTCGCGCAGGGATTCTTTCTGACTCAATTCCTTTGTTCTCCCTCTCGTGTGCCTTGGCACCGATCGCGTTCCACTTTGTATATATTAGAGCACCTCGGTTCTATTCAGATACACCCTTTACCGCTACAATCATCGTCTTGTCCGAGGTCTCGGTCCCGTTCCGTATTGTTCTCGTGCCCGTCTCTTGCGTGTTTGTCGTCTTCGCCTGCACTGTTTATCGTCCGCCGAGCTAGTCGGTGCGATCAGCGGTCACCGAGCCGTGCCCTCAAGGCTGCTCGCCTGCGATCTCGTAAACCGCGGATAGACTGCCGGGAAGGAGGTTTCATAGAACTCTTCTTACCTTGAGCGCGCTAAGCCCATGTTCATAACAGCGTTCACGTCGCCAAGAGCGCACGTCCGCGTCCTTACCGTCGGGGCGTGCCGACGCAGCGCTCTCACCGAGGTCCCCCAAGAGAGCAGCGGCGACGCGATCCATCTCGCTTCGCTCGTCCAACTCAAACGCCCGAATAGATTGTGTACTTATAGAAGGTGCAGCCTTCAATTTCCCACGCGTCGGCCGCTGAGCCGGACGCCAGCACATCACCTTCAGGCTTCGACTTCTCCCCTTGACAGCTTGACCTCCCATACTCATTATTGGACAACCTCCACCATTGCAAGATGCTTTACACCAGAGGCTGAAGGGGTGCACACTCGCGCGGGTGTTGGGAATGGACTTAATATGCCATGTACGTTCACTCGATCTTCTTCTGCCGTCTTTCTTTCATTTTCAACCATCGGTCGCGTCCTCCACACACTGTCGTTTGCTACAACTCCCGTCCTGTCCTCTTTCGTCCATGCAACTAGCTTGTGTAAGCCATCCAGACCTACCCAGCTAATCAACTATAACCCCAGCACGTATGAATTCTGTTACACCTCTGAGGGCTCAACGTCAACCTACCCACAATCCAAATGCCCCAGCTGCGCGCACGTCCAAGTATGTCTCGCGCACGTCAGGGCTCCATGGCTCACGGCACAAGTTCTTCAAGTCCGGACTGGAGACCCACCCCCCCGGAAGTACGCTTGGGCGAACGTGAAGACGAGGGTGAAGCGCGCGGAACTTGTACGTGTGACACGAGATGATCGAGTATGCGCCCAACTTGTCGATTGCCAGGTATATGCGGTGTGCGCGCGCTGGCGTGTCGGTTGAATATGCATATTTAGAACACGGTTTCGATGTATGTAGCCAGGGTCTTCGATCGAGGATGGGCTCAACCCCGAGTTCCCTCGCAACGGCTCGGCGTTCTTCAGTGGTACCGCTGCCTCAGGCAGCGGAGACTGGAAGTGGCTACTGACAGAAGGTGGACATGTGAGAGGTGCGAATGCCACCTCACTGCGAACTTCGCGGGCTGACGACCACGCATGTTCGCAGCACACGACCTTCGGAGGCAAGCAAGGCTTCACCCGATGGCCGTCCACGCCCTTGTACGATGGCAGCGGCGCGCTTGCCAGCGTCGTCCACCAGGAGCGCGGCTGGGCCTACGTCCTCTTCCTCCGTGCCGGCCACCTCGTCCCTCAAGGTGCGCCCACCGCGGTGTTCCTCGTAACCCCATCGTTCGTTTCTCCTCCCTGTGTCGAGCTGCCTTCGGCCGCGGGGTGGCGTTGAGCCATAATCTCAAGATGATCGCCATGTTTCTCCTACTACCTTTTTCAACATCGATCAGTGTACTCTCCGATGCGTGCCGAGTGCTCGCAGAATGCGCGAACAAACCGGTTTATCGGCCTCCATCGATATCCAAGCAAGTCAATATTATGCCTTCTTATTCGCCACTAATCATGCCCTGCTAGCCGTCGGGGGATCATGAGCTAGCTCATTAGATTAGACTAATATAGGGGCTTCGACTAATGACACTAATCGGGTCTCATTACACTCTATTATGTCCCAATAGATATCCGATTTTCCCCTTCCTGGTGAGTTCATCCGGAACCGGGCGACCAAGAAGTTCTGCACTGTAACATGCCCCAGCCCTGTGTGTGCTGCCCAGAGACCACAAACTCCTTTATATAACCAGATGGCCCAATCTAGTCCTTCCAGAAGCCGGACGACGTGTTTTCTGCATGCAGCGCCGGGCTCACTTCGACCTGGTCCGGGTGGACGGCTCCTCCGCGAAAACCGGGTGGGTCCGGCCGGACGACTCCCCTGGGAAAACCGGGCGAGTCCAGCCGGACGACTCTGCCGAGGTAACCGGGTGAGTCCGGCCGAGCCCGGGTGAACGGTACCTTCGGCAAATGGCGGTGTCCCGGCTGACCGACTTTGCCGAGGAAAGCCGGGCCATGCACTGGTGTCCGCGCATTGAACAATCAGCAGCATGTTGTTGAGTGTGCGGGTGTCCCCGCGCTGAACGCTGAACGGCATGGACGTCGTTGGGTGCGCGGACGTCCGCGCGTTGAACACCCGCGGGTCATAATTCACAGGGTGTACAGACGTCTGCATATTGGATAAGACAGCCCGAGAGCCTTCGCGCTCTACGCGCGGACGTCCGCGCACACAGCATGAAGGCTCTCGGGCTGTCTCACGAAGTGCGTGGATGTCTGCACATACCTCATGCGTCTTGGCGGCACATTGTCCTATGCGCGGACGTCCGCACGTGGAGCGCGAAGGCCCTCGGGCTGTCTTATCCAATATGCAGACGTCTGTACACCCTGTGAATCACCTGTACCTCACATCAATCAGGCCGGCTTAGCCCGTGGCACTGGGGGGGTGGCCCGGGTCAAGTAGACCTGAAACCGTGCTCCCCCGCACGTTTGAATAATTCGTCCAATAAACTCGAGCTGTTTCCCAACAGGGAAGTGCTCGAACGCCCTCCCAAGTCCCCCAGCCCATCACGTGTCATCAGTCCGCGTTATCTCTCCCGCTAAGGCTCGAACCATTTAAATTAATTACCGATTATACACGGTAAAAACACTGTAAACTACCGACTATATACCCCTCGGTCATTACACGGTTGGTATAGAGTAGTAAACGGTTTATGGAACAGTATATACACGTGCTAGTACTCCACCGGACCTGAACAACGAGATGGTGGCGCGCATATACCTAGGTCCTGCAGGCTACATCAACCAGTGATAGAGAGTGATCCAAGGACGATGAAAATCCGATTAGAGTCCTCTTCGCAACGTCCACCACCACCCACCCAGATTCCCCTCGATATCGTCACCAGTCACAGTCCATGGCTGCTAAAGCTCCACCCTCTCCTCTGCTCGAGATGGCTACTCTCGTCAACTCCATCGCAGCCGCCGCCAGAGCTTTGCCCTCAAGTGTACCGATCGGCAACGAGAATGACAAGATCTACACTGTCATGACCAAAACCCACGGCGATACTGCTTGGGAGTCCTTCAATCGACGGTTTGACATCCTCTTCGCTGACGATTGTCGCGACCCAGAGACCGGGCGTCTTCATCATCTCCGTCGTGGGGCATGTGGGCTCGACATGGTCATCAAGGACATGCGTGTCCTCCTTGCTCAGCACCAAGCCGAGCTTCAGTACGATGCAATGCGTATCAAGCTGCAGAGACTACTCACTGAGGTCGCCCATCTAAGGTATGTTGTTCTGCACGTCCGCATGGTATTATGTCGCCACCGGTCTCATCGGAACCCTTAGCGGAGCCCCAGTTGAGTCTCTAGCCGACCCAATGGCCCCTTCAGCATCTGTCGGCGACAAAGAATTAGACCGCATTGCACGCATCACAGGCACCGGTAGCTCGGCGATTGCAGCCGGGGTCCCGCAGGATGCTGACCGTCAAGCCGCCTTCACTGCGGCTGCAGCTGCTTTGGCGAAGAGGGTGATGGACCCAAACTACAAGAAACCTGACGCGAAGAAGAGAAAGAAGAACACACGCGTTCCCGCAGCGCCACATCTTCTGCTGTCGGACCTGTTCCAAACGGAGCGACAAAGAAGAAAGCGAAGTGTGAGTTATCAACTCACATACTAGTAATCGTGCACTCACAATCGGATTGGACATTGGCTTTCAGTGACGACAGCTAGTCTACTCGTAGACATGAGTGAGGCTGACGACGAGGATGCGAACGATAGAGCATACCAGCTGCCGAAGACTCGGTCAAAGCCTGGCCCCAACGAGAAGCTAGTAAAGACGTACAATATCAACGGCGAGACCACCAACGACTCGGAAGGTTCTGATGGTGTTGAATTCGTGGACAGGAAAGGAAAGCAGCCCGCTGGCGCTCCAAATGGCAAGAGACGGCGCCGGTCTTCCTCGGCAGCTGGCCTTGGTGATCAACAGGCAAAGGTGAGTACGCTGTATACACTTTGAAAGGCGGACTATCCTTACCTGGACGCTATGGTAGCGCTCACGCGGAGACTCAGAGGCAGCGAACGAGACTCCCGACGTCTCGGATGGCGAAGGCGCATTGCGTGAGGTTGAGGCGAAAGAGGCGGAGAAAGCTGAGGCGCGTGGCCAGCAGCGAGGCCCGAAGAACCGATCTGTTGTGCACTGGAGTGTGGCGAGGCCGACAACCTCCATTGACAAGGGTCTTCGATGGACGTTTACTTGCCGTCATTGTGGAGTGTGAGTGGCTTGCCGCATGAACGATATGTCAGTGAGCACGGCTAAAACCATCTAATTCTGCATCAGTGGACGGTCATTTCGCCGAACTCTCACGGGCGATAACGTAGTCTGGGAAGACGAACCTGTCAAGCCACCGCTCGCAAACCTCGCCTCACATCTGAAGCAGGCTCATCCTGAGCTCCGTCAGGCGCAGGACAATGGCGATGAAGAGATAGACTCATACCTCGCAGGGGACGTCAAACATCGGGCAAATGCCGCTGCTAGAAGCTCGAAGGACGGGTCCTTCTACGACCGGGAAGATGTGGAGGCCTTTGAGGGGTACATGCACAGTGGTCCATTCGACCCGAACAGCACGCCTACACAGCAAGGTTTCACGGCGGTGATCGCAGGATGGCTACTGTATGAAGACTTACCTTTCACGACAGCAGAAGCGACTTCCTTCAAGAGCTTGATGCGCTACTGTCAAGTCCGATTCTTGCTTCCCTCGGACAAGACTGTCCGGGCGGAGGTAAAACGTATCTTCAAGTACTTACACACTGTCGTTGTTCGAGAGCTTGCGGTGAGTGAACAGCGTGGTTTGATTACACATCTCTGACAAGGAAACTATGCTCAGCGCGTCAAATCCCGTATCGCGTTCTCAACCGATACTTGGACAAATAAGCAGATGATACATACCTTTGGCGCTGCCCTTGCACACTTCATCGACGACGACTGGAAGCTGATAGAACGTGTCGTCAATTTCTACAACGTAGGAGAGGATGAACATGAGGGGAAAGCGGGAGCACGGGCATTCGTTCGAGCCGTTACAGCACGAGGCGGACTGAAAAAGATAAGTGATAAGCTCTTCAGAGTTCATCTGACTGACAACCCAGTCGGGATCATGCACCTCATAGCGTTAACCGGAGACAACGTCGCAGCGAATGACCTTCTCGCCGCCGAGCTGATGCGTCTGCTCATTGAACGCTATGATGGTGAAGTTCATTTCCACCCCGACAACGGCCGCATCCACTGCTTTGCCCATGTGGTCAACCTCGTCGTCCAAAAGGTCATCCACGACCTTCTGAAGGCATCCAGCTCACCGGCCGAGGTTGAAAACCTCCAATTCGCCGATCCAGACGTGAAAGACTACTACGAGGAGCTGCACAAGCACTTACCATTCCATTACGACCCTCCCGACGACGAGTTTGCAGATGACGCGGACTTGGAGGACGAGATCGATGCTGAGTTGCTAGTCTTTTCAGATGCCGAGATGCAGGCCTTGGAAGCCGAAGAGATCGAGCACGATAAGAAGGTAGAGGCGAACGAGGCGAACGAGATGTACAGGAAGATGACGACTCTGAATGCGAAGAACGCCCTGGAGAAGGTGAGCGCACAACGCCCCGCATCGCGGCCTGGGAATGCTGACCAGCGTGTGACATCACTCATAGCTTCGGTTCATCTGCACGAAGATCACGTCGTCTCCTCAACGCCGTGGCCTCTTTCGTCGCATCGCTCGAGCCACCTATCCTGACAACACCCCAGAACATGCTCGACTTCGCCGGCTTATGGTCATCCGCGACGTCAACACTCGATGGAACTCGACACATGGGATGACTCACCGCGCTGGGGAGCTCAAAGAGGTGCGTTGTGCGAGCTCCAAGCTGACTACAGGCTGTCAAATACGCATACTGAAAGCACATCTCACAGGCTATCGACAAGTGGGTGGAAAAGGAGAAGTCATTTAGACTGCTCGTTATTCTACCGGAGGAATGGGAACTCATCCAGGAGTTAGACAGCCTATTGAAGGTGAGTTTCACTCTGCTTCAGTAACGTTATCCAATCGGCCTGAGGAGGCATTGCTCAACACGCATGGGTACCCGTACCACGGCAGATATTCACCACTGTGACCCACGAGGTCTCGTACAAGGATCGCCCTACCCTTCCTCTCGTCATCCCACTCTATCGCCAGATGAAGATCGAGCTTACGGAGTACGCGAACAAACCGAACACCTCAGCCGCACTGCGTACTGGAGCCCTGGGAGGCATCGAGAAGCTTGATAAGTACTTCAGGCTCGCTCTGGAGTCACACTACACAGTTCTTGCATGCAGTGAGTACTTCTTCAGCCCCGTTCTCCCAACATTTTGCGCCAATTTCGCCGTGCCTGGTCACACACATTGCGTAGACTTGAGCTGATCTAACGCTTCTTCTCAGTTCTCCACCCAGACCTCTGTCTCGGCTATCTTGAGGCGTCTTTCAAGGACGACAAAGTCGCCGAGAACGCTCGTACCATACTTGAACATGTCTTCGGGGAGTACGCGAAGAGCCACAAGCCGACCGACACCACGTCTGCCCCTCCGAAGCCTCGTGCCCCGGAGCCCTCAAGTTTTCTGCACAAAGCGCTGGCTTTTGAACAGCCCAACGACAAAAAGAAGCACCCGGACGACCAGTCCATCCTGAAGACGGACGACGTTCTCTCAGAGCTTACTCGGTATCTCGACTAGGGATCACCAAGGGTCCGGGTGACCCGTGCGGGTTCGCGGGTGCGGGTACCACGGGTGCGGGTGCGGGTCTCATCTCCAGGACCCGTGGACCCTTGGCACCCATTAGCACTGCACCTGAGGCTGACGCGTCGGGCTGAACACCACTAGCTATACATTTGCTTAGTAAGGGTGGCTGGAGGCCGGACAAAGTACATGTGCGTATACCACTCGGTACCGCGGTACCCCTCATGCTCACCGTCTCGCACACACTGTCTCGGCGCCCGCACCATCTCGCCCAGTGCTCTGTCTCGCCCGTGCCCTCTCTCACCCACGCCCTCTTGCCCGCACTGTCCCCCTCGCCCCGTCTCCCTCGCCCGCGCCATCTCTCGCCTGCATTCGCCGTCTCTCGCTCGCGCTGTCTCTCGCCCGCGCCCTCTCTCGCCTGCACCCTCTCGCCCACGCCGTCTCTTGTGCACCGTCTCCCTCACCCACGCCGTCTCCCTCGCCGTTTCTCAGCGCCCCAGTGGGCGGCAAGGACGCGTGGTGCGCATCGAGTGATGCGCGCCACGCGTCCTTCGCCGTCCTTGCTCTCCTCCACCGCCTGCTCCCTGCTCTGCCTCACCGTCTGTCCAAGCAAACGATAGCGACTACACAGTCGTCTGTCGTCTGCTGTTGGACTGCAGTGTCACTTGGTGACACTGTTCTCCCCTCCCCCTCCTGCCCTCGACCTCGACCTCGACCTTGGTCCTCCATGCCGTCCTTCACCCACCTTACCGGCCTCCCTCACAACGTCGAGAGCGCACGAGGACGTCCATCCGGACGTCACCAGTATGGAGATCGGAATATGGGGGCCGCGGCGATGTACCGCGGCCCCTGTTTTGGTGAGTCCTCCGCCCTGCCCTGCCGTATTTCCAACGCCCACCCGTCCTCCCTGCTGCCCAGTCGACAACTACAACAGGCCAAGGACGTCCTCCCTCCTCCTCTCGGCCCTCCAAGTCGCCCTCCTCCTCTGCGCCACTCTCCTCTGCGCATGTTGTCCGCCTGCGCCACCTCCCTCTGCATCGCCCGCCTCTGCATCGCCAAGCTCCTCCTCGTCCCTCCTCGTCCTCCTCCGCTCGCGCTGCCTGCGCACACCGCTCGCGTACGCCGCCCTGCTTCACACCACCCTCCTCTCTTGCGCCGCGCTCCTCTGCCCGCGTCACCCGCCTCCTCCGCCTCCGTCCACGTTGCCCGCCTCCGCGCCGCGCTCCTCCAAACCGCGCTCCTCCGCCCGCCTTGCCCTTCTCCGCGCTGGCCTCCACCCTCCTCGCCCGTCCTGCTCCTCCTCGCCCTGCTCCGCCTACGCTTCTTGCCCCTTTCGCACCGCCCATCTGCTTACTGCCGCCCGCCCCCGCATTGCCCGCCTCGCCGTTGCCCTTCTCCGCGCATGTTGCCCGCCTCTGCACTGCCCTCCTCCGCACTGTCTTCCCCCGCGTCCGCCTCGCCTGCGTCCGCGTTGCCCTCCTCCGCCTCGTCCAGCTCCCCCCGCCTCATCCAGCTCCCCCCGCCTCGCCTCCTCCGCCTCGTCCCGGCCCTGCGCCTCCTCCCTCGAGCCCTCCTCCATCTCTGCCTCGCCTGCATCCGCGTCACCTACCTCCGCCTGCGCTGCCCTCCCCTGCCTCGCCCGCCTCGGCACCGCCCTTTGCCTCCCTCCATCTGTCCCCTCCTGTAGTAGTGTACAATAAATATAATAATGCACAGCGTCTCTCGCCTGTGCCGTCTCCCTTCTCCCATGCGCCATCTCCCTCGCCCGCACCGTCTCTGTCCCGCGCCTTCTCGTCTGCGCCTTCTCGCCCGCACCTTCTCGCCCATACTGGAGTCTCACCCACGCCATCTCTCTCGCGCTGTCTCCCTCGCGCCATCTCCTGCGCGTCACCGTCTTGGTCTCGCGCGTGCCGTCTCATGCGCCTCATCTCGCACATGCCGTTTCGCGCGTGCGGTATCGCATGCATGCTCTTGCGTGCAATACCTCACTGGTGACTCGTCCCAGGCCTGTTCACCCGCGGGTGTCCGCCGCGGGTGCACACCCGTGAGATACCCGTCCGACCCGTGTGTATGCTGACCCTCGGGTCTACGGGTGCGGGTGTGCGCGGGTACGGGTGCGGGTCGAATCAAAATCACCCGAGGGTCACCCGTGGTGAACCCTAATCTCGACAATGAGGGTGGGAGGGTCAACGGCGATGACGGGGTGTTGAGCTGGTGGAAGGTCAGTGACGCTTCTCCCAATCGTGTTCGTGTCTCTAACGTTCGGTTTGAGACTCACGCAGGATCTTTCCCGATCCTTTCGCGCATTGCCCGGGACGTCCTTGCCATTCCCGCCACGAGTGTAGCTGCCGAGAGGCTGTTCTCGTCATCTCGTCACCTTTGCATGGACCACCGGGCTTCCCTGTCACCAGAGACCATCACTGAGTCTATGTGCTCTAAGCACTGGATTCGCGATGGTCTGTTTGACTTCCGCAATCCACCGAAGCTCCGGTGACGACTTCACTGTGTTGCGCCGGCTGCCGGCAGGCTACTGTGATGGTCGGACACGGTCTCCCGCTGGTTGCATAGCTACACAGCTGCGTTTTATGTACCATACTACTGTGAGATCCCCATCCTGTGTCTGTAATGCATGTGTCCCCCGCGAGCTGGAGGATTCAGCGTAGATGCTATCGGACGACAGAGTCGCCGTGGCGCCAGCAGGTGCACGTGCCTACAAACTGGCTATACACTGTTTATAAACTGTATATAGTCTGTACACTGATTACTGACTATATAAACCTTCTTCCGTAAACGTAATCTAAATAGTTCGAGCCTTATCTCCCGCCCGCGCCCGCGTTATCTCCCGCGCCGGCGCCGCGCGCCTCCCTGCCCCGCCACCCGTGCTCGCTGTGCCCGACAGTGAGCTCGCTGTCCCTGCACCCTGCCTCCCCCTCCTCTCCGTTTCCCTCCGTTCTTTTTGTAATCTACTTGTATTCAAAATGCGCACCTAATGGTACACAATCCAATCGCCACACCTGCCTGGGTGTGCCTGCACTGAGCCCTCAAACCTCCCAAAGTGCGTGCAATACAGGAACATATATAAGCATTCAACTGATCGGCTAAGTCCTGCATCAGATAGATGTAGATGAGAGCTGCTCTATTATAAAATCGCAGGTGGATAGCTAGAAGGGTGCAGGTATGATGTCATATGTTATCTCAGAATGACATATCACACAGTGATATGGTATATGCATATATCGTCTTATGTACACCCAGAATCGTACCTAGAGGTCATTCAGAGTGTATTGCAAGAAGAAGAAAGTGAATAGACGATGTTGTGGTGAAGATGTGACATATGCTCAGAAGGGGGAGTTGGCTTGAAAATGTGACCTTCATATGTTTTTTTGCAGACCTCTGATCACTTCGCATCTTGTTGCATTACGTTTATATGTATACGGAGAGCTCAGATCGTCGTTTTGGTGCTTATCGGTGAAGGATTGAAAACAGGAAATGGTATGTCATTATTCCATGACATAGAGTATAGCGAGATAGCATGTGCTCCGATTATTATTCTGAAAGATGGAATAGAACGGGGTGTTCTTCTGCTAAACGATGCAGAAGGAATCTTGAAGAATGGTTGAGCGGTGGTTGAGATACGCCATATGGGTCTAGAACGGCAGGTTGCACAAAGAACGCCCTTGAACC